TGAGGGACCCAGAAAAAAATTGAAAAGGGCCTTGGCTAGTACTCATGTTTAGCTCTGTTGTGAATCTAACCCAGTGTTTGACTGACTAGCACTGAGCAGCTTCTTAGCCTTCCCTAAGCAGCTTTATGCCTTTTCCTGTGGGAGTTTCCCTTCGATGAATGACTACAGCAACAAGATTGTGTCATCATGAAACGTGCTTCCTCTTGGTCAATTCTGAAGCATTTATGAGCCTGCACACACTGTTGTTGTTATTTGGAATCACAGCCACATGCTGGATTGCTTTCCTTTTGGTTGTTTGGGTTTTTTTTTTTTCTCTTTTTCTGTTCATATTATAATAGTGAGGTGTGGCTAAAATCAGTAGGTGTGGAGCACTATCAGCTCTGCCTCAGACTTTTTTCTAACCCTGTAGTTAGTATGTTATGTTTTCCTGCTTATGAGGGGGAGAGTATTTGCAGAATAAATGGAGAGCCGGGGCAGGGATGGCTCTCTCAAGATACCTTCTGTTATAATTCTCAGGGTTTAGAATTACAGCAGTCTGTGAGTCCTGAAACGCAGTGTCCTGTCAAGCTGTCATTACCGTACTGAACAGCTTCAGCCTGGATGAGATGTGAGGCTTCACTAAAGTTATCCAACTTCTGTCATTTGACTGAACTCCCGTCCAAAGTGAGTAAGGCCCAGCTATTCCCTTCAGCTGCCCAGTTCCAGTTGAAATACATGAGAACTAGGTACTTAACGATCTTTTCTAGTGTTTTTTTGGTGATTAAAGGTGCAGTCATATTTCAATAGTCTTGTTGAAATAGATAGTAATGCAGGAGTTTCTTGGTGTTACTAGTACTAATACTATTAAAATATTTATATGTTCAGCTATAGAAAATATTTAGAATATGAGTTTGTAACAACACTTGAAAAATTCAAGTGATTGTTTATAGCTACCAGCCCTAAAAATTGACCTGGCAATCATGCAAAAGTAGTCTTTCTCCAAAGTTTCAGTAACCTTCTGTTGAACTTCTGTCAAATATAGAATGGGCAAGTCTGGCTTCTGCAAAGATTTTCTCATTCCTCATGCTGATAAGTAGGTGGTAAATTGTGAAGCATTCCCATGGCAACACTGGGGTTATTGGGTTTACCTTGTCGTTCAGAGTAGTTCTAGACTGCGACTGAGGGGTAGGATAGAGGAAGAAGATTTGGGAAGAGGTGGAAAGCTGAGTGGGCATGGGCGCTCAGAAATGGTGCAGCTGTTTTTCCTGACAGCAGCTGAAGGCTCGGCTCTCCAACAAGATCTTACTTAGCGCTGTTACTCATTCTGAATGGGGAGGTCAGAGAAACTGTACAAACCAGAATTACACTATCCTGGAAGAAACCTGAAGGAATCTTTTTTTCTCTGTTTGTTTCGTTTGAAATTTTTCAGTAATAAAGAGCTGCTGCACCTGGTGCTTTCCTGGGATGCCTGCTAGGCCTCATTGTTGGAAGAGGGCAGGTTTCGAGCTCCTCCTCGTGGCTCTGGGTCGGCTCTGCTCAGCACCTGGCAGTTTTCTTTTTACCAGTTATGTTTCCATTGAGTATAGATTCCTTCTTATTCCTCAAATGCTTCATTGTATAGAAACGCTAACAGCTGTAATATTGGGGGAAATTAATCATTGAAGGTACAGTTTTCCAAGAAGTATGGCTATCACAAAATATTCCGATAACAGCTACTACTAAATAGCTGCAGTTTGGTATCAGTCCTGCTGCTTGATAGTGAAAGAGCTTGAAGCACCAGGCGAAAAATGAAGGCCTGACTTGAAAGAAACCCAAATTGTAATAGAACCCATGATATCCTGCTGCTGAGTTCATCTTACCAGAGATTAAAGGGGAGAGACCTGGACAGGCTGGAGAGGTGGGCCTGTGCGAACCTCAGGAAGTTCATTCAACAAGGCCGGGTGCACATGGGTCTGGGCCATCCCAAGCACAAACACAGGCTGGGCAGAGAAAGGTTGCAAGCAGCCCTGTGGAGAAGGACTCGGGGGTGCTGGTTGACCAGAAGCTCAGCATGACCCAGCAATGTGCGCTCACAGCGCCGAGGGCCAACTGCACCCTGGGCTGCATCTCCAGCAGTGTGCCCCACTCTGGTGAGACCCCCTCGGAGTCCTGCGTCCAGCTCGGGAGCCCTCAGCACAGGGCAGAGCTGGAGCTGTGGGAGCGGGGCCAGAGGAGGCCCCAGCAATGATCACAGAATCACAGAATAGTAGGGGTTGGAAGGGACCTCTGTGGGTCATCT